TCAAGTCCACTCGACCGCACCAAATTGTTAATGCAGTCGGATTGAGTTCCGACTTTTTTTGTATTTGCAAGGAGTGGTGGTATGAAATTTTTTCTTATATTAACTATATTTCTTACTGCATTGACTGTGATAACCAGATATCTTATATCACATGTGTATGAGGGCGCAAGCCATAAAAGATTTTTGAAGCTATTGTTATATCTGGATATAGCATCAGTATTTATGATGCCAATTTGTTATGGTCCTTTGATTAACTGGGAGATATCAAAGTATCTCATTCAGTTAATAACTGTATTTTTCATGACTCAGCTTCTTTTTGATGGATTAGCTGTAATTTACTTATTGTACATGGCTATTTATCGTAAAGCGTCACGAAAGTCAGAGTTCAATGCTGAACGAAGAAGGTTGATAAAGGCTGTTATTCCTGCTATAGCAACCATAGGCAGTCTGTATGCGACTGGCTGTGAAAGAATAAACACTGTAGTAAATAGGTTGTCTATTCCTATAAAGGAGTTGCTTGATAATTTACGTGGTGTGACTATAGCACAGTTAAGTGATGTCCATTTAGGACCATATTTTAATTTGCAGCAGCTTGAAGAATTGATGGACCAGGTAGTCAGTCTGCAACCAGATATACTTGTTTTGACAGGCGATATATTTGATGATGGAAAGCAAAATGTAAAAGCAATAAAACTTATAGACAGCTATGTGGATAAGTTTGAAAAGGGTATTTACTATTGCTACGGTAATCATGAACATCTTCGTGGAATTACGGGGATAGAGATAGCACTTAGTCAGACAAAAATTAATGTGCTAAATAATGTGAATTGCTCTATTGATTTTGCAGATGATAAGCTGTATTTGGCTGGTGTAGATTATCCTATGAATCGGGAAGAATTTGAAAAGTTCCAAGAGCTTTTTACGAAAAATGCTTTGAAGGACATACCAGAAAATTCTATAACAATTTTATTGGCTCATCATCCAGATTTCTTTGACAGTGCATCACCTAGAGGCGTACAGCTTACTCTTTCTGGTCATACTCATGGAGGTCAGATAGGATTTATGGGGATTCCGTTAGTACCGCCACTTTTTAGATATATGAGAGGCTTGTACCGTGATGGAGATAATTTCTGTTATGTACATTCGGGGAATGGAAGCTGGTTCCCATATCGACTGGGCTGTCCTCCAGAAATAGCTGTATTTACTTTGGAGAATAAATTATGAGGGATTATACGCAAGAAGGTTTAGAGGCCTTTGCTAATACGGATATGGAAAAAGCAGCATGGTGCTATTGGCAGGCTGCACAGCATGATGAGATATTGCGTGATCAGCTTCAGCATTTGAGCAATTATTATTTTTGTCTGCACTATATGTCTCGCCTATCTCCTATGGATTTATCACAGCAGATTATGTTTTATGATAAGCTATACCAGGAGATAGAGACTTTTCCACAGGTAAGGCAGGATAATCATAAAATTCGCATAGGATACTTGTCAGCTGATTTTCGGCAGCATGCCATGACTTCATTTATTAGACCCTTGCTGTCATGCTGCAATAGGGAAGAGTTTGAAGTGTATGTGTATGCTATGAACGAAGCAGACAATATTACTGAGGAATTTATACAGTATGATGTGCAGTGGCGACAGATTGATAGTGTATCTGCATTTGAGGTAGCGCAAAAAATAAATGAAGACAGGATAGATATCTTGTGGGATTTGTGTGGTCATACCAATGGTGGTCTCAGCTTAATGATTATGGCATATAAGCCTGCAAGAATACAGCTTTCTGGAATTGGCTGGTTATCTACGACAGGGTTATCCAGTATAGATTATTTTATCAGTGACGAATTTTCTACGGATTGTGAAAATGTAGAGAAGCTTTACTCGGAGCAGATATTACGATTTCCGAATATATCGCAGCTTTGCTATACACATACAGGAGAATTGCCAACTATAGAATTATCCACAAGAGGATGTGTGACATACGCATCATTTAGCAATTTTGATAAGATATCAGATGAAGTGCTGAAGGTATGGAAGAAAATAATAGACAGGGTGCCAAATGCTAAGCTGCTGTTGAAGGACACCACGGAGATTATAAGTCGTCAGCTTGCCATGGCAAAAAGATTAGAAAATATCGGTTTTACTGTTGGAGAAAATGTAAGCATAGAGTTGGCAGATGAAAACTATCTTTCATATTATAATGATGTTGATGTTGCTTTAGATACCTTTCCATATACAGGTGGTGCTACAGTATGTGATGCGTTGTCTATGGGGGTGCCTGTTGTTTCTTTGGCAGGAGATGCACCGTCAAGGAGATTGGGAGCTTCGGTATTGTATTATGCAGGTATGAAGGAAAATATTGCCAATGATATTAGTGAATATATAAACATAGCTGTAGAACTGGCAGAAAAAAAATCTTTAGAAAAACGCTTGGAAATACGAGACAAATTTTTACAATCTTCATTAACAGATACTAATAAATATGTGCGAAGCTTAGAATATATGTATAAATCACTTTTAAAAGGATAATTTTTATGGTAGAATAGTAATAGCTCAAAAATTTTATTGTTGTGGAGGGAATCTCCAATGGAGAAGAAGTACACTATTCAGGATATAGCTGATCTGGCAGGCGTGTCCAAAAGTGCTGTATCAAGATATTTGAATAATGGGTATCTCAGTGAGGAAAAATCTGAGAAAATAAAAGAGGTTATTAAAAAGACTGGATTTCGCAGTAATTTCTTTGCTCAGAGATTAAAAACTAAGCAAAGCAAGCTGATTGGTATAGTATTGCCTCGTATTGATTCTGTTACAGTAGGTAAGCTGTTATCGGGTATATATTCTGTGCTGGATAAGGTTGGCTATCAGGAAATTTTCCTTGTAAGTAATTTGGATGCTAAGCGAGAAATAGATAGTATCCTGAAGCTTCATCAGCAGGGGGTAGACGGGATTATCGTGGATTCTGTCGGCATTACTAAAAAGCACTTGGATATAACCCGCAGCTTGAATATACCCATACTGTATACTGGTCAGCAGCACAGGGATGTGCATTATATAAAGGTAGATGATAAGGCTGCTGGAATGCTGATGGGTCGTTACCTAAAGGATATGGGGCATAAAAGGGCTGTTTTTGCTGGTGTTACTGAAACTGATATTGCTGTAGGCGTAGACAGGAAAAAGGGCTTTTACAAGGGGTTTCTTACAGATAATGATGGTGCAAGCATAGAATTTGTGGAAACAGGCTTTGATTTTCAGGTGGCATATGAAAAGGCGGCAGAAATGGTAGCTAAAAATCCATCTGTCATAGCTGGTGCAACGGATAATATCAGCCTGGGCATTTTACGGTATCTGCATGAACAGCATATCAAAACACCGGAGGAAATTTCTTTGGTTGGTTTTGGAGGCTATATGGTAGGTTCAGTATCATATCCTGCATTGACTACTATAGAGTTTGATTATAAGCTGCTTGGAGAGAAGGCTGCACAGGGGATGCTTGACTTATTAGAGGGAAATGAAATAAAGGACCACGGTGAATTTACATTGGAATTCATACCACGAGAAAGTGTGGCATGTATTTCTTAAATAAAATAATAAAAAATAGCGGTAATGGACTTTACCAGTAAAAAAATATATGTTATAATTAAAATGTAGGATTGTGTAGTTTATGGGGAATGTAAAGGAGGTATATTTCGACGTGACAGGTAATTTTTGGAAAAGAGTACGTATTTTGACAGTTTCAGCAGTAACGGCTACGGTGATAGGCTGCTCATCTATTGCAGGTGCAGCTGCTTTGCGGACAGGTGATTTTGGTCAGGATGTATCTGACATCCAGGCAAGCTTAGCTGATAAAGGCTATGATGTTGTAATAGATGGTGATTTTGGTCCTGCTACCTCAGAGGCAGTGAAGGCGTTTCAGAAGGCTAATGGCTTAGAAGCAGATGGCTTGGTAGGCCCTAGCACCTATCGTGCATTAATGGGACGCAGCATGCCTGAGATACAGGTAAGCCGTGGCAGTAATTATGTTTCAAGACGTATTCTTTCCACTGCAATGAGCTATCTTGGTGTGCCATATGTATTTGGCGGATCAAGCCCTAGTGGATTTGATTGCTCTGGATATGTGCAGTATGTATTTGCAAGTTGTGGTATCAGCATACCTCGTACTGCTGATGTGCAGTTTGAAGTTGGTACACCAATTAATCGCAGCGAATTGCAGCCAGGGGACATGGTATTCTTCTCAACTTATGAGCCAGGTCCTTCTCATGTAGGTATCTACATCGGTGATGATCAGTTCATTCACGCTTCATCTACCGGCTGTGTCAAGATTACACCACTGAGCAAGCAGTATTATGTGGAGCGCTATCTTGGTGCACGTAGAGTACGCTAATAGGTTGTTAGTTATGAGCTCGTTCTTCTTCGGAGGAGCGGGCTTTTTTTAACGGCAGATGAGAAAATATTGTAAAAAAATGCTTGACAACTGCAATACTTTTGTGCTATACTGTTAAAGTAACATTTCGGAGGGGTGTCCGAGTGGTTTAAGGAACTAGTCTTGAAAACTAGCGATGTCGAAAGGCACCGTGGGTTCGAATCCCACCCCCTCCGCCATATACGGAGCGATACTCAAGAGGCTGAAGTACTCTGCGTTGATACCACTGCTTCGCAAGGTCGCCAGAGTTCGAATCTCTGTCGCTCCGCCATTTATGACTGTATCAGGGACTTTGGTATTTTCCGAAGTTCCTGTTTTTGTTATGGAATATTAAAGGGGCGTTACTGTTGCTAAACGAAAATGAATGTCGTGCCTTTTTACAAGTTGCAAAGGATGGAAGTTTTTCAAAGGCTGCTAAAAAGCTTTATGTATCTCAGCCATCTCTAAGCCAATGTATTAAGCGTATCGAATCAGAGTTAAACACTACTTTAATAGATAGAAGCTGTACACCTTTGGTACTTACAGAGGCAGGGAAAATCTTTTTGGAGGAAGTTCAAAAGATACAATTTATTCCCGTAATGGATGAACGTGTTCTACTGGCTGTCCCTCTTAATCATTCACTGGCTATTAAATACAAAGGAAAGAAGAAAATTTCCTTTAGAGAGCTGCATAATATGCCTGTAGTGACATTGCAAAAGACAAGAAAGATGCGGTATATTTTTGATGAGCTGTGTGAACGTACTAGTACAGTGCCAGAAATTGTCTTTGAAGCTAACAGTATCGTACTTGCAGCGGAGTTAACTATTAATGATGTTGGACCTACTTTAATTACTGATACCATGCTGCAAGGTAAAAAGTATAGAGATTTTTTGGTATGCTTTGAATTAGAGGAGCCAGTAGAACCGAGAAGACTGGTGGCAGCCTATAATTGTCACAAACCTTTATCGAATGCAGCTTAGAAGTTCATTGAAGAATTAATCAAAAATAAATAAAGCACAGTTTATTTTACGACTGATGATAATTTTTCGCATTGATAAAATGCAGATTATCATTGGTCTTTTTTATTGTTTTTATACAATTATTTTATTTTAGAGGAAGGCCGTGGTATCGGCGAAGGTGTACATGCTGGTGTATATCTTGATTTCCGTCAGATTAAGCCGGAGATTATATTGGAGCGTCTGGGACAGGTTCGTGACCTGGCATACCGCTTTGCTGGCGTAGATATTATCAAGGAGCCAGTTCTGATTTCTCCAACCTGTCATTATTCTATGGGCGGTTTGGAAATGGCAGACTTTAAGACTGGTGCATCTCGCGTTGAGGGCGTATTTGTGGCTGGTGAGTGCAGCAGTGTATCTATTCATGGTGCAAACCGTCTTGGTGCAAATTCCCTTTCTGAGGTTCTGGTATTTGGTCATGTAGCTGGTGATGGTGCAGCTGGCGAAGCATATACTTCCATGCAGAAGGTATGTGAAAAGTTAGACATAGAGTTAGAAGAAATTCCTAATTGGACCTGCTGTGGTGCTTCTCATGCACAGGGCGTAAATGATTTTGCAGCATTGGTTGTAAATGCTAGAAATATTTCTATCGCAGAAAACATGGGGCTGCCTATTATGACAGTCTGCAACACCTGTACCCTGCAGCTGCGTAATGCCAAAAAGCGTCTGGATAGTGACCAGGCTTTAAAGGATAAGGTAAATGGCATACTTAAGGACAGCGGTCATCCATACGAATATAAGGGGACAGCTGAAATTACACATTTCCTGTGGGTGTTGGACAAGAATCCAGAGATTTTGAATGGAAAGGTAACAAAGCCTCTTACTGGTGTTAAGGTAGCCGCATATTATGGCTGTCATATTCTCCGCCCTAATGATGTAATGAATTATGAGGATGGCAAGAATACATATTCCTTTGAAAAGCTGGTAAAGGCTTTGGGCGCAGACCCAGTACCTTTTGATGAAAGCCGTCTTTGCTGTGGCTTCCATGCACTTTACCCAGCAGAAGATGATGTAATGCGTGCAGTCGGCAAGATTATCACCAGTGCAGACAAGGCTCAGGCACAGGTAATCGTTACTCCATGTCCACTTTGTCAGATGCAGTTTGACATGTACGGTGATGAAGGTGTCAGCACTGTAGGTACTGCCTCCGAATTGCCAATTCTTCACTTGCAGCAGTTAGTAGGTTTGGCGTTAGGCTTCACCAAGGAGGAGATGGGCTTTGACAGACATCTTTACGGTAAGGATAAGCTGAAAATCTGAGAAATAGACAAATATTGAATTTATGTATGACAGAATAGAGCTGGAAAACTAATTTCTGGCTCTTTCTCGTATATGTTTTATGTGTGTAGGAGGCGTAGTTATGTTTGGTTTAGGTGTACCTGAGTTAGCTCTTATTTTGCTTATCGGTTTAGTTGTATTTGGTGCAGGAAAATTACCAGAGGTTGGGCGTGCCTTCGGTAAAAGTATTCGTGAATTTAAGGAAGCCACTACTGAGGACTCCAAGATGATTAATGTTACCGAGAACGATAAGGAAAGCAAGAATGTCTGATGTAAGAAACGGTTCTGATTTGGTGGAGGCAGTTCAAGAAAATACAGAATCAAAATATGAGGTAAAGGATGTAGTCGAGGGCGAAGGGGGCAGTATGTCCCTGATTAAGCATTTGGAGGAGCTGCGTTACAGGCTTATACGCTGCATGTGGGGCATGGCTTTTGGTATGGGAGTTGCCTATATATTTCTTGATGACATCGTGGCGTACTTCATAGCTCCAGTAGGCACACTAAATGTTATCCGTCCGATGGAGGCTTTTTCCACATATATTAAGATAGATATTTTTGCAGGTTTTATCATAGCCATGCCAATAATATTTTTTCAAATATGGCTATTCTTCTTGCCTGCCCTGAAACGAAAAGAGAAAATGCTTCTTTTGCTGCTGGTACCAGCTTCTGTACTGTTATTTCTGGGCGGTATGGCGTTTTCATTTTTTGGAGTAATGCCATTAGCTATAAAATTTTTGCTTGGCGTTGGTAGTGAATTTACACCAGTAATATCTGTAGCCGAGTATTTTGAATTTGTATTGAAATTCCTGTTACCCTTTGGTTTAGTATTTGAGCTGCCACTGATAATGGTGGTTTTAGCAAAATTAAATATGGTTTCGTCAAAATTTTTAGTAGACAAATTTAGGTATCTGGTATTTGCATCATTTGTAGTAAGTGCTATCATAACACCACCAGATATCGTGAGTCAGGTAATGCTGGCCCTGCCGATTATTGCTCTTTATGCTATTGGTTTATTTGTCATTAAATTTATCATGCGAAAGTGATACGAAGGCTCTAGATTGATTTCTAGGGTCTTTTCTTAGCAAGTTTTTGCGTAAAAAAATCTTGACCATCTTCACTAAAAGCGTTATAATTAACTTGAAAGTAATTAACTCTAGAGTTAATTAAGGAAGTGATACGATGTTTCTTGGCAGGCAATGGGAGCTTTCCCAGTTGAATGCTCTTTGGCAATCCGATAAATTTCAGATGTTTATCCTCTATGGTCGTCGTCGTGTAGGTAAGACCGCTCTTATTCGAGAATTTTGCAAGGATAAGCCATCAATTTTCTTTTCGGCAGGTCAGAGCAACGAGCGCATGAATTTAGAGAAATTTTCGCAGTTAGTGTATCAGCACTATGGTGAGGTGAATGGAAGCTCCTTTGAGAGTATGGAAAAGGCTCTCAGCTACGTCAATGAACGTCAGCAATTAGAGCCTTTGGTGGTAGTGATAGACGAGTTTCCATATCTAGCGGCTGGCAATAGTTCATTGCTGTCTGATTTACAGCATATCATAGATTTTCAATTATCCACAGGAAAAATTTTCCTTATTTTGTGTGGAAGCTACATGGGCTTTATGGAAAAAGAGGTATTAGGTGTTAAAAGTCCGTTATTTGGCAGACGGACAGCCCAGTTGAAGTTAAAGCCTATGGATTATGCAGACAGTACATTATTTTTAGAAGGTTTTTCTCAGCATGAAAAATTACTGCTTTATGGCATATTTGGTGGTACGCCTCTATACCTCAGCCAGATTGATAATTCTAAATCTATTGCAGATAATGTTAAGCGATTATTTCTTAATCCTATGGGGTATCTGTATGAGGAAGCAAATATGCTGCTTAGACAGGAGGTAAAGGAGCTTGCTGTATACTCTAGTGTAATTGAGGCAATAGCTAATGGTGCATCTAAAGCAAACGATATTTCCATGAAGACAGGTGAGGAAAGTGCGAAATGCTTGAAATATATAAGGGTGCTAGAGGAATTAGGGTTAGTCAGCAGGGAAGTGCCTTTGCTGGATAAGCCTACATCGAGAAAAACGATTTACCATATTGAAGATTTAATGTTTGTTTTCTGGTACCGCTATGTAGCGAGATACCGCAGTCAGCTGGAAAATGGTGCAGAGGAGATTATTTGGAGCAGGCGTGTAGAGCCGGATTTGAATCATTATATGGGACAGGCTTTTGAGCGTATATGTCATGAGTATGTAATCAGAAAAAATGCAGCAGGTGAGCTGCCTATTATGTTTTATCAGCTAGGCCGATGGTGGGGGACCAATTCTACATCCATCCAGCATGAACAGATTGAAATTGATATGGTGGCTGTTGATGGAAATGATTATATCTTTGGTGAGTGTAAGTGGAGAAATGAGCTTTTGGATATAGGTGTGGTAAACACTTTGAAAGAGAGAGCGGAGATTATGCAGCCTAAAAGGGGAGAGACATGGTATATGTTCTTTTCCAAAAGTGGTTTTACCGATGCTGTCAGAGAATTGGCAGCTGCTGATAAGCATACTATATTAGTGGGTATAGATGATTTAATGAATGTGAAATCAAGAGGGGATAGCTAAAATGACAAAGAAAAAGCGTAGAATTGCGTGGGGAAGGGTCATAGGTGCAGCAGCATGTTTAGTAGTATTTTGTGTTTTGTCTGTATCGGCGTGTAAAATGCTGTTTTCTGGTGAGGAAAGTGCGGAGCAGCCTCAGAACTCACAGCAGATGGTGGAGTCTAAGGAGCTGCAGGAGAAAAAGGCAAGAGATGAGGCTATTAACAAGCAGGTAGACGAAATCATGGAGAAGATGTCCCGTACTGAGAAGCTGGGGCAGCTTATGATGATAGGTATTCATGGCAAGGATGTCAACGAGGATAATTTGTACATGCTTCGTCAGTTCCATTTCGGTGGTGTCATACTGTTTGACCGTAATATGGAGAGCAAGGAGCAGGTTGCGGTTCTTAATAAGCATTTGCAGGAGCAGTGTGACGAGAAGGCTCCTCTGTTTATTGCTGTTGACGAAGAGGGTGGTTCTGTGGCTCGCATGAAGTCGGTGCTGATTCCGCCACCAGATCAGCTGAAGCTGGGTGAAACTGGCGATCCTCAAAATGCTAAGAAAAGTGCCTATAATATTTCTAAGGAATTAAAGGCTATGGGCTTTAATGTGAATTTTGCACCTGTAGCTGATTTAGGTTCGACCAATGGAAAGCGACATTTTAGTAGTGACCCACAGGTAACGGCAAATTTTGTTTCCGCAGCGGCAAATGGTTATGAGGAAGTCGGTGTATTTTATACATTGAAGCATTTCCCTGGTATAGGTTCAGGTGCCACAGATTCCCATGATGATAGTGTAGTAGTTGATGTGCCAAAAAGTGAGCTTTTGAATAAGGACATTGTTCCATTTAAGACAATAATAGACAGTCATGACCCAGAAAAATTTTGTGTTATGGTTTCTCATGTGACTTATCCACAGGTAGATGGAAATACTCCTGCAAGTATATCATCTGTAATAATGAATGATATTTTGCGTAAAGAGTTGGGATTTTGTGGTATTATAGTGACTGATGATATGGAAATGGGTGCAATCGCAAATCATTATGGTTTCCGTCGGGCTGCTGTAGAGGCCATCAAGGGCGGCGCGGATATTGTTCTCATGTGTCACGAGTATGAGCATGAGCAGGATGCCTACATGGGATTATTGGAAGCTTTGAACTCTGGAGAGCTGTCTCAGGAACGTGTAGACGAAAGTGTAAGACGAATTTTAAGAGCAAAAATAATCAATATTAAATAAAAACAAAGAAAAATATACAAATTTTTTGAAAAAATTCAATTTTTAGTATTGACGAATAATAATTTTTTATATAAAATATAGTTAGTGAAAAAATTGTACCTATTTTTACATAGTCAACTAATATGAAGAGTATGTTTTCTGTGTATTAGGGGTTTGATTGGGTTATATGTTTTTTATTTAGGGGGAAAAAAGATGAGTGAGATTGAGAATGTAAAGCCAGTGCGTACTCGTGCACCTCGTAAACTGTCTGGCGATGATATTTCCGAGTTTTCCGAAAATGTCATCAGTGATGAGGAAATCGAGAAGCTGCTGAAGAACATGAAGGGGGTTAAGGGCAATAAGAAGGGCCGTTTAGTTCGCTTATATCAGTTGCTGTATACCAAGACTGATGAGCAGCATACTATCGGTACTAAGCAGGTAATTCGTTATTTCGCTGCTATGGGTATGTCCGTAAACCGCAAGACTGTAAAAGATGATGTTGATACTCTTATCGAAGCTGGATACAAGATTCATGTAATCAAGACTTCCCAGAACCGTTATTACATGGAAGAGCGTGAGTTTAAGGTTCCAGAGGTTAAGATGCTGATGGATGCTGTTGTGGCATCTCAGGTTATCTCTGCTGACAAGACTGCTGAACTTATCGAGAAGCTGAGTGGTCTGATGAGTACTTCTCAGGCTGAGGGTCTTACCAGTCAGATGTTTATTGATTTCCGCCGCAAGCCTGCTAATGAGGATATCTATACCAATGTTGACAACATCTACACTGCTATTACTCAGGGCAAGAAGATTGCTTTCCAGTATTGGGACTACAACACTGATAAGCAGATGGAGCTGAAGCACAATGGTTATGTTTATTCTGTAAGTCCTTATGCTATGCTGTGGAATGATGACCATTATTATGTAGTTGGATATTCTGATAAGCATGAGACTATTTCTCAGTTCCGCATTGACCGCATGTATGCAGCACAGGTAACTGATGAAGAGGCTGTTGCAAAGCCAGAGGATTTCAAGGCTTCTGATTACACCAAGAAGGCATTTGGCATGATGACTGGCGATAATACTGTAAAGGTTAAGCTGGAGTGTCAGGAAGGCCGCATGAAGGATATCATTGACCGCTTTGGCGTTGGTGTAGAGACTAAGCCTATGAGCCATAACCGCTTCGAGGTTAAGGTTGATGTTTACACCAGTCCTGTATTCTATAGCTGGGTATTCGGCTATGGCGGAGAGATTAAGATTAAGGGACCTAAGAAGGTTCTTGAAGAATATCGTGGCATGTTGACTAAGGCTTTAGAGTAATAGTCGATGACGTGTGCTTGATAACATAAAGATGTTGGCTGGCTGCCATTATGGCGGCTGGCTGCTTTTTTTTGAATTTTTTTACATTTTAAGTTTTTTTTCTTTACAAATATACTTATTTAGTAGTATAATAGAAATTAACGACTAGTACGGGAAAGTTT